AAAAAAAGAAAAAAAAAGGTTGTGCATAGCGTTGCCTTCAAAGCACGTCTGGCAGTTTGCTTCTTTCTCGCTTCTAGTCTTCCAAACGCGCACCGCAGCCAGTTCTTGATACTTTCATCTCGGACCTCCCCTGCCGTTTGCAGCTGTAGCGGCAGCAACTTCCCTGTCTGTCCTGCCGCAGGGCGGGATCGCCCATACTTTACCAGGCATACCCTCGCACCAAGCTTTCCCCGACTAAACATCAGATGGTCACAAATTCAACTACCTCAGCTTTTGTTACGCCGGGCTTTCCCCCCTCCAGCTCAGTGCTTTGGTACCAGAAGTTATGACGCCGCTTGCCCTCTCGCAACCTGAGCGTAACCACCCATCATCAACGCGCGGGATGTCTCACTTGGGCCTCGAGGCATCCGGACAATCCTCTCCACAGGGCTGTCACGGCGGTGCGGCCTGAAGATGACGACAGCTGTTCGGCATTTACCGAAAACGAAAAATGGGTTTTCGTGGAAACGAGGACGGAACCGATGTTTTCGAAAATGGACGAGAGGCTCGCGAGCTGCCACGACGATGGATTAGGCTGCGTTCGGGCTCTGCCGAAAGGATCTGCTGTGTGGAATTTTGCCCAGCGTTACTCGTGCCAGCAGAGACATTTGGGACGACCGTTTTTATACCGACGCCAGATCCAAAGCGTGGTCGGCCGGTCATCCTTTGGGGAAATATGCGGCTCCGCGTCGACCGCAAAGTGCAATTCCAGGTGTCCATATTCGCACTCACACCAGATTTCAAAACTACATCGTGAAGACAAGATATGCAGGGTACAGTAGCCATGGAGACCCAACAAAAAGAAAGGATGACTATGCAGCAAAATTTCTTGATACCATGGGTATCTGTAGAGCCTGATTGGACTGATGCCTTGGCCTTGCTTCTCAGCCCCCTCCAGCTATTTGCTCTCCCGTTTCCGTCCAGTCACAGTCCAAGGCCCTTCCAACCCCGGGCGATATACCTTCTTTTTCCGTCCCCATTCCCCTTGCAGGCTGTTTATCTGTACCTTCTGCAGGTTGTCCGTACATTGGCCAAGCCGAAGACCAGATGGGTCATAGCGCATCAGCTTGTTCCTCGTCGACTGGGCCACAGTGGAATGCCTCTGTTAAGGTAGGATATTGATCACACCTGTCTTAGACCAACGTTGCACACATCAGGCTACACCTGCCCGCCTCATCTATCCGCCCTGGCTGAATCATGGGCCAGTACTGTTCGCAGCTATAACAACATGCCAGCCTCTTGAGATGGGACGGACGGAAAGGGGAGACATCTTCGACAGGCTTGTATAAGATGTCAGCTTGACCTACACCCTCTTCTCCTTCCCCTCCTGCATGGTCTATACAGCTTTCGGTTCCACCTTGCATATGATAGTGTTTCTGAACGACATACGCGAAGCAATACCACCAACTCGTTGTCCCAAATCGACGACAATGGCACCTAACCCGTTATGCCTCGCCTGGCGCGAGCAGATTATGGGTAACATGGCTAACTTGAATCTAGAGATTTTACCTGCTAACATTGCTTTAGACAACTTGCGTCTGATATCCGGTCGTAGTGCCTTCGTCGACATCTATACCTCACGCCATCCCAACAAGTCTTACACCATCTACGCAGTGAAGGTGCACAAGGGCAAACGCCAGGAGGTTCTTTCAGCAACGGGCCGCGACCTCGAAGACGCCTATGAGACACTCCATACCAAGTCGGCTCAGGAAGTTTTCCAGTTTGTTGAGCTGAATGGCTTCGGATTCCCTCGTGGCACAAAGAACGACTCGGATAGCTCTGACAGCGAAGCCTCGACACTGGATGAGGTTATTTCTCTATCTGCTGTCTCGTCCGAGAGTGAAGACGATGAGATCCCATCATCCCGTCGCAAGAAGACAAAGGCTTCCCGCCGCAAGGATAAGAAAAAGTCCAAGAAGCACGTTTCCTCTTCTGAAGAAGATAGCTCCTCCGAAGAGGACTTGCCGAGAAGACGCCCACCTCCCCCGATTGCGCGCCCGTCCTATATCCCGGCAGCTCCCATCAACAGCTCGGCGCCTCCACCTCCACCTCCTGGCTGGAGAGGGCCCCCCACGCGTGTCTATCCTCGCGCTCCCGGCCAAGGGCCTCCACCTCCCCTGCCTCCCCCAGGCAGGTTCCCACCAGGAATGCGTCCCCCTTCCATGGCGCCCCCACCCCCGGGGACTGTCTCCATTGCCGCGCCGCCCCCACCTCCGTCGGTGCCCGGCAAGCCCGTCCGCCTCGTCATCGGATGGGCAGGCCATGGAGAGAAGAAGATCGTCGAGCATTGTCAAGCCAGCCACCGCGCAATGCAGAGGACGGCCCTCGCCCACGTCCGCGCCAACTGGCAGTCGTTCGACAACGTTGTTCCCCAGGAGATGACGCCCGGACGCCTTTGGGGTCTCGGTGCCAAGGTGAGGCGTGTTGCCTTTGGCAACGACATGTACTCCATCTCTGCCGCCGGAGGCGACGACCTCAGCATGTACTTTAAGGCGGATGAGATCCCCATGTTTGAGATTGAAGTCGACCACGACGCCAGCATCGTTCCACCTCCCCCGCCTCCTCCACCAGCGCACCACCATGGTCAACATTGACTCGGGGAGGTCCCCATGGTGTGATAAATGTTGTGACGTGATCAGAGGCTGTTTGCGGCCGCGAAAGCATATCTGGTCGTTCCGACGTTGTATGGCTGGATACTCCCTTGAAGCCCTGTCACCATCGTGATTTCACGCCTGGAAAACGGACCTTGGCCGAGAATGAGAAAAACAGCAGGGGGAGAATGCAAAGCTTCAAGTCTCCGGCACTACATCGACTCCAATCATTGGTTCGGACTACAAAAAAAGGGCGTGGTGCATTGGCAAGGTTGCATAAGGCAAGGCTATGGAGAGCATCTTGTGACTGGAATCACCTTCACTTCTCAAAATGTCATTTGGTGTTGGCGAGGACGGTGTTGGTGCGCGATGTGTAGGATAGGTAGTCATGTCTGGTTTGCAAAGCGGGTTGGTTCAAGAGGGGGTTAGGTAGATTGTCGTGTCACTTTTCAATATTACAGCATCGGACTTCGTATTATTCACAAAAGCCACATGTTGCTGCATGAGAACAATAATGCGCATGTGGAAATACTGTTATCGTCGACGTGCATCCATGTTGTACTATTGGCCGGCCACGGATCCGTCAACGGGGTGACGTAGTAAGACGAGGCGACCAAAGTCACATTTGTCTCGCGCATCGGCGCTGATCGGGCGGAACCGTGAGGCTTCTCCGGACCAACCACGGCGATCGTCCGCCTCACTTAATCCTATTTTTGAGCAACGTCCGGTTCGGATCCATGATTATGTGATCAAGACCAAATCAAGATGCGAGGGATCACGGCACGCATCACGCGCTAGTGAATCCAAGTTCTCGGAACCGCATGTCGCATTGGGTGTGAAGATTTCCGCGACTTGGTGTGGTGGTGTTGGGGGTTTCGGGGGTATTAATGGGATGCCCACGTCCCGTGTGCTGCCATCCGGGCTGCGACGAAGTCGACTGACTGCGCATTTAAGAGGGAGACATCGGGATGTTGGAGAGTGACGGCCGCAGGATTGTGGATGTTTCGGTGTGATAGTGGAGCTTTTGGTGGTAGGGTGTCTGATGCAGGCCGGCTTGAGAAGCTGAGGGCTCCAATGGTGATAGAGAGCCTCGCAGTGTTCGCGGGTTACCTTACGGGTCATCGGAAAAAAGGTAATTGAAGAGTACAATAGTAACGTCCATGGTTTGTGGGTATGTTTGCAGTCCGATCACGTCAGTAGTTATGCATTTCAAGTCGGTGAAACATCATAATATTTAAAGACACTTACTTAGACTGTGGTATATTGCCTATGTTCTAATATTACTAGTTTCGCTTTTGCTGTTATTGACTGTACTGTTGGGCGTTTTCTTCTTGTTGACTGTTGTTTTCATTTTCCTCTTATATTGACACTTTTAGTCTTAGGATTTCAATCGCGTGGGCAATAACGAAAAGGGTTGCCTCAGTTTTCATTATTTTCTATTGGTCTAAGCGTTATACCATCCAATTAGCCACCCTTGGCTTTCTCTGGCTGCTCCTACGTGCTGAAGAGCCGAAAGGGAGGACAGAGCCCTGTTGACTCACCGCGGGGAACATGCACCCGGATCGCAAAGAAACAAACACTGATGACTCGCAACATATCAGGGTTCAAAATTTGTAAAAGAATCCATCCGGGTGGATCATTTTGGATTACCTGAATATACCTCCTAAAACATGAATGTGAACAATTTGCGCAATAAGAACATCCTTCATTACGTCCTGTCACATAACTCCACCCATCACGATGTCTCAATACATTTACATCAACGGCTACCCCGGGGTCGGTAAGCTCACGATAGCCAGGGAGCTGTCCAAACTTTTCCCAGGAAGTGAGGTCTGGGACAACCACCGCATCATCGACCTCGTCCACATCGACCGAGACCATCCAGACTACAACCTGATGAGAGCCTTCCACCGCCGTAACACCTTACTTACCATCGCCACATCTGATTCACATCAAAATACAACGTACATATTCACAGACGCGCGATGCTCGAGTACCTTTGGCAGCGCCGCTGCTCAAGAATATGAGGACGCTGCCAGAAGGAGGGGTGTGCCTTTCATTCCCATCGCCCTGGAGTGTCAGTTGGAAGAGAACATCAAGAGGGCCACCGGGAGCGGACGGGGTGGAGCTGCAAACGGGAAGCTAACAGATGTCAACATCCTGAAGGATATCAGGCAAGACGAGCAGATGTTTCGCTTTGGAGGGGATCTGGAGCTCGAACTGGACGTTACGAAGTTGACACCAGAACAGGCCGCCTACAAGATCTTTGAACATGTCAAGACCGTGACGCAGAGCCTTTCAGTTTCGAAGCCTGTGTTGCCTGATTCTCACACCATCATCTAATAATACATTGCGGTTTCTCGTGCCAACCTAGTCTATCCTTCCCGTGCTCCAAATGTTAAGGCCAACCTTGATGCCCTTCTCGACAGGCAGGCCGGCATGCCACGTCTCCTCGTATCCCGCCCCGCTCCCGTCGGCGCGGAAATTCTCCCAGTATACCGCATTTCCCGGGACAGGCCTGAACACGACCCCCTTGTCTTCATCGCCGCCAGCATCGGCCCCCGTCTCAGACTCAGCCGCCGCCGCCGTCTTTCCACGCTTCTCGCAGTCCACGAAGCGACACCATCGCTCCTTCTGCCCCGGGATGCTCAACAGCGGGAATTCGGTGCCGCCCCCAACCAGCTCTTCGCCGTCCTCGTCGCCCCGCGCATCGACCCAGACCATCATGCTGCTCACCCGCCCCCAGCCCCCGCGATTCGAGCTCCAGTCGAAGTGGTACGAATAGTGCCCTCCTTCGACGTACCGCTGCGTCCTCAGCCTCTCGATCCACAGCTCCTCTCTCCAGCCCTGCAGCGACCGGGCCCGGGCTTCGATGCACCTGACCCCGTCGGTGCGCGGGATCATGGCCACCTCGGACTCTCTGATTGATGTGTCGCGCTGTACGCCGGCACCATCGTGGGTGATGGTTGATGGCTCAAACAGGGATTGACTTTTAAACATTAGCTTTTTGTCCAGCTCAGCCAATGTCGTCAAACTTGACATGGTAAAGGTGAGTGAAGGGAATTAAGGGATGGAGTCTCACCTAACATCCAAAAGATGCGCTCTCTCGTCCGCACTGACGAACCCTTCGATGTACAACACCAAAGGCTCCTTTGAAAAGATGTGCACCGTGTAGGTGTCTGGAGGACACGATAGTACCGTGGCGTTGGGGTGCTCGATTGCGAGCAGCGACTCATTCATTGGCGGCCGCGGCGAGCGGATGACGCGATGGCTTCCGGACGGGGACAGCATCCGGAGAAGCGGGTCGGAGAAGAAGACGACGAACGCCACGAGGGCGACAATGTACGTGAGCATGTCTGCTGCATCGACGGCGGAACCCGACGAAGAGAGAGCTTCATCGAACAGATCGGCCCCTATATGTGAACAAAAAAAAAAGACCGGCTCACTTTTGAAATTGACGTTGGCGCTTACATAGCTCCAGCAGGTCTAGCTGCTGCTACTACATCATACCCAAGGTAGGCACTATAAAGTCCTGCTGCGCCGCGTCAGTGGTCGGCTCCGCCACATCCGTCCTGTTACCTTACCGTGCCGATCCGGCGCAACACTGTAGCTCGGAACATGTTTCTTCGGTGGATCGTCATTTTAATTAAGCAATCATGCGATGTTGAAATTCCAAGGAAATCCTGCAAGGAAAACATAATTAAAACCGGGAAAACAGCTTGAGCTACTGCGTCTTCTTCTCCTCCGCCTTGGCAGCAGCACCCTTGCCGTATCCGGTCCGGGAATACGCGGCAACGAGCCTCCACAGAACCCATGCGAAGCCCAGCATCACCGCGCCCGCGGTCCCCATCCGCACCCACCCCGCCTGCCCGGCCTCCAAAACCGGCACGCGCACGGAGCTCGTAAGCCGACCGCCGCCGCCGCCCGCCGAAGCGCCGACCGGCTCTACGTGCCAGAAGACGGTCCGCGGCCCGAAAAGCGCGTCGTAGCCCAGGTTGACGCGCTCGAACGGGCTGCTGGGGAACTTGGTGCCTTCCTCCGAGGAGCAGGCCCAGAACACGGCTGGGTGGGGGACTTCGAGATCCGTGTAGCCGCCGTCGGCTGGCTTGAGGTAGCGCAGGTGCAGCGGGATCTCGGCCGTCCATTCACTGTCCTTTTCTTGCGCGGTTGGGGGTGCGAGCTCGAGGAGGACGCCAGAGCCCCACGGCTTGGTCGCGTAGGCTGGCGCTTCGAGGTCGACGGGTGAGCTGGAGTAGCGCAAGGCGGTGAGGTTCTTGGATTGGAGGAACAGGTCGTCTGCGAGCTGGTAACGGTCCGCGAAGATGGTCCTGGGGAGAGTAAAGTGCGCGTGGATGGCGCAGTAGGCGTCGTCGACGGGCGGCCGGGCAGAGCTGACTGCAAGCTGTAGCGCGGGGTGCAGGCCTGTCGGCTCGATGAACTTGGCGGAGAAGGAAGAGCCGGCGGCCACCTCGTCATGGCGGCGGTGGCGTGCGGGCACGTTGAAGAGGACGGGCGAGGGCTTCGTATGTTCGCCGAGGACGGTCAGGCCGCCGGTCATACCGATCTCGTGGGGCTCAGGTTTCGCGGAGGAGTCGGTGGTGAGGATGCCGACCTCGGTCCTATGCTTTGGTGTTGAGGCGACGTCGATCCTATGGGTAGTGTACGGCCATTGTGCCGTGACTTTGAGGGCGTGCGAGATGGTATCGTAGGAAATGTCGAGGGACGCCGCCGTCTTGAGATCCTCGGCGCGGGACTTGCAGGCCGTGTTTGACGCTGGGCATAGCGTCTCGGATGTGTAATGAATGAACTTTGTGAGGTTGTCCAGTAGCTCGTAGTATTGGAAAGCTGCGGAGTGAGAGAATCTGTCGTTTGGAAGACTCGTGAATGACTGTTTGAATGTTAGAAGAAACGATACTGAAGTTATATTACATGACTTGCCTCTGACGACGAGCATCCGCTAGCCCCAAATGCATCGCTGAGAGCTTTACATAATTTGGCTCTGAGATCACGTTAGTATGCAGCTTTTCATGGCATGACAAAAATACCTACGCATCCCATGACCCCTCCTTTTTGGGGGTATAAAACAGATGAAAGCCCGGTGATACCCTAGAGTTCAAGGGAGTGACAGTCTCGTAGGTCTCAGGAGTAGCCCATCGGATATGGAGCTCATGGCTCTCACTCAGAAGCTGAGAGAGCTCGGCCGGAAGCTCCTCCAGAGCTAGTGTGACTCTGTCCTCGCGAACGGCATCAATTTCCGGGCCTTTGACGCCGGCATCGCCAATGTCGAGAGCTTCGAAGGGGACTCCATTTCCAGGTTTGTGGATGAAGGTGATTCGTTGACGCATGTTGATAGATTGTGCCCCAAGCAGAAATCCTGGTAGGTGGTTTTGACAAAAGTCCTTGCGACGACGACTGGATCAGATTAGATTCAAGGTAGCACCGTCAAGTGGGCTCTCGGTGATGTGAAGGGTAAGAACGTGTATGAGTGTGAGCAGCTCGCAGATGGACCCGCATCGACATCGGACCCGTTGCTGAGGACACCTTCGCTCGGTACCGAAAGAGTGAGGTAAGTGAGTGCACGACAGCGTACGGAGTAGATTGGGGGCGACTCAGGTTGAGCTCCAGTCGGACTTGTGGCTGAACTCTGTACAAACAGCATGTCACTCGTCACTCAGTGCCGGGAGGCGCCCAAGCTCCCTCCCTAGCCACACAGCGCCACACGAGAGCTCCCACGCACGTGGCAGAAGGCGGCACCGATGGTACAGCGACCCCTGCCAATCGACCCCATTAGGTCACCGGCGTCTGAGTGACGCTAAACCACTTTGGCTACCGACGCTGGCACGAAGTGGGATGCCCTCAGCCCGCCAGATGCCGACCGAAGACACCCAGGCCTCGTCAGAAAACACCGCCAGCGACGTCCACCCTCTTCTTTCGAGACCGAGGGGTATCTGTCGATCCTGACCGACAATGCATCAGACGTCCGTATTGAAACTGAAGACCTTTGGGCTCCTTCGGCCTTCATAGCGAACACCACTTTCCCAATCGCCATGCAAACCACCAACCTCGAGTAGCGAATACACCCCGCGCTCTATATTCCAGCATTTGCGGACGCATACATCCGATCTTTGAAGAGGGGGAGACGGAGCAGGACTGCGACCGAACAGCAGGGGACACAGCCAAACATGGGCGACGACCAGCCGTACGTGACCATCCGGTCTCGCCGGCCGTACGATGGAAACAGCGTGAGCAGTGGTGCAGACTCGACTGTAGGTGCTAGAGTCACGACACACCAGTCGCGAAGAGTACACTCACAAGCTGGTGATGGCCAGTATGGATCCAGCTCCGGCGATGCACCCCGGACCGCCACCCACGACACAAGTCGCGTGAGCTACCATGTCAAACATCTCGATAGCTTCGTGCAGACCTTGGAGGATGTAAGTCGCCGTGAAACCTCTTGGCAAGGCCTCTTCCTGATGTCCACCTAGTCTGCAAACCGAGCATTTCCAAACAGGGGCAGATCATCCCAGAGATATAAGAAGGTCCAGGCCTTGTTGCTTCATTGGGGTTCAGATGACCTCTTCGTGTTGCCCGAACTAGAGGACTTGGAGCGTTGCCTCCGCGAGGACTACGCCTTTAACACGGACATCTTCGCCATTCCTTCCGAAAATTCCCATCTTGAGCTCATGATGCAAGTCGGCAAGCTGATCAAAGACCACGAGGCCCAAGATACGCTTTTCTTGGTGTATTACGGCGGCCACGCAAGGATAGATGAGTCCAGGCAAAGCACCTGGTGCGCGTAAGTGACGTGAAGTCTTGTAGTAGATGGTTCTAACCTGAGTTAGAACACGAAATCCCGACTCTCCGTGGCTGCAGTGGTCAGCTATTCAAACTCTGCTCGAACGTTCGGCCTCTGACGTTCTCATCCTTCTTGACTGCTGCGCTGGAGCTGCGAGTGCTACATTCCCCAATGGCAACAGTATCACCGAGACCATCTCAGCCTCGAGCTGGGACGCCATTGCCCCGGATCCAGGTCGCTACTCCTTCACTAATGCCCTCATTGAAGTACTGCAGGAATGGAGGCTACGCACCTTTTCTGCCGCTATGTTGCATGCCGAAGTCCTTGCTCGTCTAAAACATCCTAGACCAATTACTATCAACGGCAAGCTCTTTGAGGCAAGGTCAACACCAGTCCACTTCATGATGACCACAAATCACAAAGCACCCAGTATCGAGATGTCACGGATTGTCCCCCCGGACGCTCGACCGCCCTCGCCTCCTCAGGACACAACCGCTAACGGAAGCGATAACCCGGATCAGTTGACAGGTGGTCGAGGGCCCGGGGCGCCGGTATCAAAAGACCCAAACGAGGACACGCCCCATGTCATGATTTCCCTCGCTTTGGAGGATAACCAACAGCTGGATCTCAATGCCTGGGAACAGTGGCTGTCGAATTTCCCAGCAATGGCAAAGTACGTCAAGGTTCAAGGGGTGTTCAGAAGCCATTCTACATTGCTTCTGCTGTCGATGCCGGTGATGGTCTGGGACCTGTTGCCCGAGGACCATGCGACTTCCTTCATTGCCTTCATCAGGTCAAACAATATGATGCTACAGGGAGGTCAGAAAGACAAGGCCGAGGTCGAAGTGCCTGTGCGAGTCTCTTCTGCAACGCTCGACAGGACCCAGCCCGATTCAGCGTCAATGAAGACGTTTTTCTCGGATACCACCTACACTTATGCCCCGACAGACCATGGCAGCATGATTGACCAGCACCTGGCCGACATGCGTTCGTATTCGCTCGGAGAGGGGCGAGCCTCTAGGCGGAACATAGGGACAAGGCAACAGGCGTCCACCGAAGCTATCTCGCCGTCGTCATCGCCGACGAGCGGCCCTGCTGGGCTGTTGAGAGCTGGACCTTCCTCGGCATCCCTGACCAGTCTTCAGCGGCAGCTGTCGTTGTCCTCTCAGACATCTGCCGAGATCACATCGAGAACAATGATTCCAAACCAACAGAGGAGTTCACGGAGGACTGTGTTCCAGGATATCCCCGAACCACCCAAGTTCTCGCAGCATGTTGAGACGCTGCTTCAGCAATACTACGATCAGGAACCTTTGCCAAATGACGATCAAAAGAACTTTGTTGCTTCCAACTTAGGCGTTGAGTTGTGGCATGTTGAGGTGGGTACTCTACGGTGTGTTGTGTAGGAGCATATGCTGATCTTTCAGGCTTGGTTCCATCATCGACGGGAACGAGACATCGTCTCTCAGCAATTTCAGAATCTCAAGATTGATGATCTAGCCCCCGTGGCGTCTCAAGGAGCCCAGATGATCCTACCTCATCATCTCAACAAAATAAT